TCGGAGGCACTGTGCTGAGCGAGACCGTAGACACCATCCTGTGCACTGGGTGACCTATGGACACCAGATGCTCAGAGTGAGCCGCAGACAGAAAGGGAAGCAGATGCCGGGCAGAGGCGGGCAGGGGGCAGATGCCCTGGAGGCCTGGGTGTCTCCCTGGGAGGTGACCCAAGTGGCTGGGTCTAGACAGACGTAGCATCTCACGGCACTGCTGTGCACTAAATGCCTTTGAGAGGTATGTTTCAAAGTGGACAGTGTTTCACTTTATGTTGTCTGAACAGTGTCTCAGACAAAGATAAGCACAGGAAAAAAAGGCTTGTTGGAAATCACTGTTTGGGACTGCCATCTAGCCCTCCCTTGTCCTTGAGCAAGGCCCCAGTGCCCAACATGCTGCCCGAGCGGACATATGTGTGGAGTTTCACATGACTTTAACTCTGAGAACACCCGTGAGAGGCCACCTCCAGGAAGTGACCTCTTGTAAGTCAGTTTTAGCTTTTCAAAGTTTGAAGTAACAAATGTGCTGTCTTTCTGTTTTTTAAAAATCATCCTTCCTGTGCAGTGTGAAGTTGTGTTTCTCTCCTTCAATCAGAAATGACAAGTAACTGCCACCAGCCAGAGGGTGATTCCTCCTGATACACAGCATCAGGTATGTATTTCTATCTATAAGACAAGACAGGGCGGGAGACAGTGATCAGCCTGCCTCTCAGGGTCCCCCAGTGCCCACTGCATATGCATTTTCAGGAAATTTGCTTCCGGTTTTTGGAAAAGTAGGCTAATCTTTCTTCTCTAGAAGCAAGTATGACGCAGAATTTTCATTAAGTCAAATGAAACATTTAACCTTCTCTCTGAACTAGAGAGCTAATGCTCTATTTCAAATATACAGGGAAGACTTGGCTTGTGCTTTTAATGCTTAGCAGGCAATTGTGCTTGGCCCTTTAGGGTGCGACCTGAACATGGTGATGCAAAGTTCGGCTGTCACTGTCTGCAAGCCCCGTGCCGGCCCAGAGCTGCTCCGAGGTGGTAATAAGGCCGGAGAAACTTACTCAGATACTACTAACTGTGGTTTTTAAGGCAAGAAAACAATATGAGCACAAAACATAAGAAACTCCACAAAGGATGAACTGATGTGGATGATGTTGTCACCATGGACCATTGTGCTGGATATAAAATCATTGCAAGGTTAAGGGGATATCCCACCCCTTTCAAAATCAATATTACATTTACGAAAGTGAATGATGGATAAGAATTGTTTCCAGAGCAATAGTTTCTTGCAACAGTTCAGTTATTTCCCATACAAATAATTTATTCCTGAAGTCTTTACTTTGGGGAGTGAAGCCATGAGTGCTGATTCCACCCTGAAAAGTCTGTGTAGGTGTGCAGGGAGGAAAATTATCCCAGGGAGCAGTGATTAACCATGTTCCATCACACACCCACTCACTTTACACCACTGACGTTTTACAGTAAAAAATATGCTTTTTGGCAAATAGCAGTATGAAATCTAATTCATATATGGAAGATGTATAAATTTTACCCATTAACAGTCCATGTTTATATGGGAAGTGGGAGTTGCCACACAGCAAGGCTCCTTAGGGTACACTGAACAAAAATGTCATACTTAGAAAATTATCTGTGGGTTCCTTTAAGATTCACTTTTTAACTGCACCACTTTCTAATGAATTAGAAATATAGGAGCAAAGTCCTAATAATTTATTTTAATTACTTGAAACCAATATCCCTCGCACTTTTACCAAAAAGGAACTTCTACCAAAGTCTTAGACCTTATACAAAAATAAACACAAAGCAGATTATGTTTTTTAAATCACATAAACTACAAAACTTCACAAAACATATGAATATATCTTCAAGATCTAGGTCTGGGCAGAGCCCTTTGCCCTGATGTCAAAACAATGCTCCCTAAAGAAACCCTGTTGATGCATTTAAAATGTCTGAGGCAGAAAAGACACTGTGGCAGACTGAAACAATAAGCTGCAGACCAGCAGGAACCCTCAATCCTTGTGTTAGCCAGGTTTCCCTTGGTGGGACAAAAGTCCCAATCCCTGAGACTTAAAGGACGAGTGGTTTGTCTTGGCTCATAGTTTCAGTGGGTTCAGTCTATGGCTGGCTGCTCCAAAGCAGAAAGAGCATGGTAGAAGGACATGGTAGAGGACAGCTCTAAATCAAGGGCAGGGGAGAATAAGAAGAAAAAGGAGGAGGAGAAGGATGAGGAACTGGGCACAAGAAGACACCCTTCCAGGTCACACCCTGCGACCTACCTCTTGTGAGCAGGCCACACCTCCTAACAGCACATTCGGCCCCCATGATCTGTCGCCCTTCAAAAGCCCCATCTCCCAACACAAGACTTCTGTGGGACATTTGAGATCGAAACCATAACAATCACATACCTGGCAAATCAAGAGAACAGAGAATATATAAAGAATTCTTAGAGCTGAACCGTAAAAAACAGAAGGTCCAAGCAATCTAGTGAGAATGTGGGCTGCGGAGGTGAAGAGACCCTGCACTGGAGAAGGTGCACAGATGGCAGAGAGGCACTGGACAAAGAGCAGAGCATCCTTTGCCATCAGGAAACTGCAAACGAATGCTGAGGAAGTATCAGTCCATGTCTGTTAGGTGGCCAGGACAGCACAGCGTGCTGAGTGCTGGGAGGATGAGCAGACTGGCCCACCCACGTATGGTCGCGAGGAACGTCAGACAGCTGCTCTGAAAACCAGTCTGGCAATTTCCTGTGTAACTAAACTTACAAATCCCCTATGACCCATAGTTTATACTCTTGGGGAATTTTCCCACAAAATGAAAACCCAGGGTCCCTTAGAAACCTGTCTGTGACAACCCCTGAGACATTACCCTGGACAGCAGAGAACTGGAGTGAGATGTTGCCAGTAAATCAGCCATCCTGCCATTAGGCTGCCCAGCGGGACACAAACAAGAGCTACTGACACAGCAACCGCTCGGCCCGCTCTCTCGAGGGCTGGGACAGTGACAAAGCCGAGTCGCAAAGCCTGCACAATAATAGCCCCACTTGGTTTGTAGCAGTCTCACATACGGAGGTCATGGAATGGAGACCAGCACATGGGTGTAGGAACTGGGGCGGGCGAGGGGCCGGGACATTGGGGCGGTGACTTGTGGATCCTTGTGGCTGCACTTGGACCCCTCTGTGCCAACATGGGGTTGTTAGTGTGCCCTGGTACTGTAAGATGTCACCATCGGGGAGCACTGGTAAAGGGACACGAGGCACATCTCAGTATTATTCACCATAACTGCATGTAAGTCTACAATTATCTCAAGGTAAAAAGTTCTGTGACAAAGTTACTCACTCATTTATCAAACAGGAAGATCTTCATGGGAAAAGAATTGATGACATTTTATCCTGATAATAACATTTTTAACCTACGATATATTTTAAGTCCTCCACACTGACGGGTAATTTAACTACTCACCACATTAAAATGTAATTTTTAAATGTTTTAGTTCATACTTAATACATAAGAATAAGGGATCACAAATTAAGCCAGTCCCCACCAGTGCTCCAGTGGTGGGTTTTTACTAGGAAAATGCTGTGTTTAGTGAAGAGCGGAGAGTACTGCTACGCTCATGAGTGTCCAGTTAGAAAGGAGAAGCAGGTTCCAGGGGTCAGAGGACCCCGGGACGGGCCTGGGCGGGACAGCCTGGGTCTGGGCGGGTGTGCACAGGTCAAAGCCTGTCTGGTGTCCTGGTCTCTGCCTCCCGTGTGTCACTGAGGGCTGCACGGGGAAGTCAGCTGCAGGCGCGGAACTGTGTGGACTGAGAGGAATGCTGCGTGCGATTCCCTTCCACCTCCAGGTGCGCAACCTCCCACGGGGGCCATTTTGACCCAGCCTGCACACCAGACATTTCCTTCTGGTCCCTATCAGAACAAATGTAAAACAAAGCAAAATGAAAAGGTAATGGAAGAAGGAGGTGGTTCGCACAATGAAGCCTATCATTTCCTTTTACTTTCTGTTTTGTTTTGTTGAAGGGAGTCACTTTTGGCCAGAACAGAAGTTGCCATTCAATGCAAACTTCTTCGCCAGCACTACGCCCCTTGGCCTGACCACAGCCATTGGGCTCCTGAGAGAGAGGGAATCCAATATGGGTCGTGTGCTGCTCAGGACCTGGAGGCAGGACAGGTCTCAGCCTTTGCTCAGGGCCTTCAGCCCCGGGCTTTGTTGGGTTGGGGAACCAGGGCATCCTTGAAGCCCCACTGACACCTGGGTATGGTCCTGACATCAGCATCTTAGCTATCCTGGTGGGGAGTGGGGTTAGGGCTCCTGGGGTCTTTGAGCATAAGCCAAACACTCCCATCCAGACTGGGGCAGGATTCTGCAGCTGGGTGGCCAGGTTTCACCTTAACCACTCATTCAAGGGCACGGATTTCCACTCTTCTGTGTCCCCTTCGGTGATAGCCCCTGGGAACCCTGGAGGTAACAGGCACCTCTTAGAGCAGACAGTCCCTAAGGATCTTCTACCACACTGGCACCGAACAGAAGACCTGTCTCCGTGCTACACCTTAGTAAGAGACAGCGATTGAGTCCAAATCTTAAATATTATGAGTGGACACAGCCAGAGATACAAATCTAAAAGCATCTCCTTGGAAACTCCAGTTTAAGCCCAAATCAACATGACAATTTTAAATAAATCAAAAAGAAATAACTGAGATGAAAAAGCAACGGTATCTTCCTAAATACATTCACAAAACACCAGACGTGTAGGAGCAAACAGTGCTAACTCTGCACGGTGCGGGCAAATGACGAGAGAGGGATGACGGGCAGGGCAGAATCTGAGATCCTCGGGCAGGGTCCCAGCCCCAGGCAGGGCCCCGAGACCTGCGTGTTCTCAGAAGGCCTCACACTGCTCGACGCCCACGGGACCCGGCACTGGCTGAAGCAACAACCTCTCTCTCAGAGACAGGCACCCGTGGCCCCTCCGCCCCCACCCGGGCGGGGCCTCCCTTCTGGGGCTCCTACCTCGGCAGGCGGGCAGGGGGCTGCTCCACTGCCCGTTGCTCCGGCACTGGGCGCGCGTGGCCCCCTGCAGCAGGTAGCCAGTGCTGCAGGTGAAGTTCACCAGGTCGTTCAGGTTGAACTCGCTGCCGTTGGTGACCCCATGGGCGGGGTTCCCGGGGTGCCCACAGGTGATGGCTGTGGAGAAGATGGCCCTGGTCACTGCCATGTTGACAGTCATTGCTGCCTCCCGACTCGCAGAGGGCGCTCACGGGCGTGTGGGACACGTGGGTCCGCTCTGCACACTCCGCAGATGGCAGCGAAGGCTGAAGGGGTGGGGACAAAGTGCACCCTGGGCCACCTCTCCTCAGGAGTGCCAGAGGAGCAACACCGCCAGACCCTGCCGTCATCACGGGAGGGCATCGCTACTGGGTCGGGACAGCACGCCTGGCTACTGCGCAGCGGAGCAGCAAGAGCTCTCACCGCCCTTCTGTGAGCCTGGGTTTGGAAACTTCCTCTAGTGTACACCAGCTTTTTTTTTTTGGTACCAGGGATCGAACTCGGGACCTTGTGCTTGCAGGGTAGGCGTGGTGCCACTGAGCTGCATCCTGGCCCTGCACCAGCGTATTTTGTGAACCTTTGTTTTGAAACATTATGGGATGTGCTTGAAGCTGAACTGTCTGTGTAAGTTACTCCAGGCTCCATGGAGACCTCATGCAATTAGCAATGCTGCTGCCCCGAGCGCTGCTGCCCCAGGGGCCCTGTTGTCTTTGCAGTGCTGAGCAGTCAGGATGCCTGGCCCGGAGGAGGGCCCATGCAGCAGCGGGCGCGGTCGCTGGCCCTTGGCCACAGACTGGTGTTTTCCTCCTTACTTGTCTTGTCAGCATCTTCCCTCTTCTCCTAAGTCAAGCTGTATCTGTGCACTCTCCGGGACGGACAGTACCTGTCACCCTGACGGCCACGTCAGTCACCCTGACTCTCGTTTCATTCCCAGGAAAGTAAACACATGCGCGAAGGACAACTGGTCTGAAAGGAGTTTTGCAATAAAGAGTGGGGTGCATTTGTTCTAAAACCAGGGCCCACATTCACACTTGAGCGGCAGATTTTGAGAGGAGTCACTGTTCCCGCTTTCACCTCTCTCAGAGGACTCTCCACCCCCGGAGGAAACAGTGACCGGAGCAGAAGAGGGACACTGGCTCCCCTGAGAACTGCAGCCGGGCCTGCAGACACGGCGTGACCTCCTGTGATCCTCCCTGTCCACGGGGGAGTGAACACGTGAGACCTCGTCCTGAGACCCGCCGGCGTGGGCTGATGAGCAGACGCGGGGGGCAGGGGATGGGCGAGCCCGGGGCCCCGGCTCTGTCAGAGACTGCGGAGTGCAGCACAACTCTTCCGCGCAGAGCCCCGGGCACCTGTGCAGGAAGCAGGACAGCCAGGTCGAAACGGTACTCACGGACACAGACGGGCGTCTGTCCAGACCACCTGTGGTCCTGCAGGCAGATCCTGACGGACGTCCCCACCAGCCGGAAGCCGGGGTTGCACTGATAGACCACTGTGTCCCGGTAGCTGAAGCCGTCCCCGCTGATGTGGCCATTCACGATGGGGTCCGGGGAGCCGCAGTGGCCAGCTAGGGGCAGGAGCAGAGGCAAGAGAAAAGATGCTAGAGAGCGCGCCATTTATCAAGGACCCCAAACGTACTAAGGAGCCCCCTCAGCAGCAGTAGCAACCACATAGCTTACTGGAATTGCCCTCACCTACTTCCATATAAAGTTTGACTGTATGGAGCTCTCGTTTCTAACTTGTTCTTTTTTGGAACTATTGTGGGTAAAATGAACACTGTCTCTCATATAGAGCTGTCTGTTTCCCCAATTATGTTTTTACCATTTACTTATTTTTCTCACTAGTGCTGTGCTGCTTGTGTTGTTCTATTTCCACACGAGCGTCAAGAGGAACGAGGTCATTAGGACCAGCAGGGTCTGCAGAAGCCTGAGACAGGGTTGTCACCCTGCTGGTGACATGCTAAAGGGAGAAACAAGAGACCAAAATCCGATCTCAAACACGTGACTAGAGCTTCTGGGGTGCTGGTGCTTAGCTGAGAATGGCCTGCAGTCTGGAGACCAGAAGTCTGGAGTTCAGGGCAGAGAAGTCCCGAAGCTGCTGTAGATCTGGGAGAAGCAAGGCCACCGCCAGGAGGTGACCCACAGCGCAGCTGAGGTGCCCAGGAAAGCTGTGGAGCATGAGGAGGAAAAGGCAGGAGGAGGGAAGAGGGAGCGGAAGGGGAAGAACGCTCCAGGCCCCAAGGAGGGAGGGACTGGCTGTGGGCGGAGCCCTTCAGGGAGCCGAGCAGGTCTGAGGCCCTTCCACTCCCTTCCTCTGCTCCCCACTCCTCTCCCCTTCTCTCCTTCTCCCTCCCTCCAGTTGCTCTTTGGCTCTCTTTTCCTTCTCAATACATGGAATGGCATCTTTCACATCGATAAAGTCAGGAAGATCAAAGGGAGATGACGCTAGATGGCTGCGTGGCCTGTGGGTTGGACTGAGGAGCCCAGCTCTGGGACACGAGTTGCCCAGGATGCAGAGGGTGCAGCTCTGGCTCCCAGCCTCCTGCACCAGGCTTTGGGAAAGAGCAGACTTCAGTGTGTTCCTCAGGGCACCAGGACAAGAGCTCTGCAGCTGGCCGGCCGGGGTAACTGAGCCAGGAGCCAGGTGGACGCTGAGCGGTGCTGGGAGAGTGTCCCAGAGCTGCACTTCCCGAGGAATCGGCACTGGCTGTGCAAAGACGCAGAGGACACGCTCCCACCATGCCCGAAGGGGAGGCAACACGGCCAGGCCATCCGCTTGCTCGCTTCCTAATGGGAGGAGACGTGCACCAGGGACTCCTCATTTGAGACAAGCAGAACACAGTTCCGACTTTGCTTCTTACTGGCGTGTGTTTCCGGCCGGCCCTCGGTGAGTTCTTTTTTGTACACATTCAAAATTTTCCACCAGTTTCGCAGTGGCTATTGACAGAGGCAGTGACCCACTGTTCACCCATCGTATGTAACCCAAACCCCACTGACAATGTGTGGGTGCTGGGGACTGGCTGTCCCCGAGCTCCAGCCCAGCGGGGCCGAGTCACTGTGTGCTGTGTTGCTCCGTCCTTGGCTGGCAGGGCTCAGCACCCCTGGCTTTGGCCAAGAGGGTGCCACAAGAAAGCATCCTCTGTCTCCTCCACCAGGGACAGGGACCCCGTGCCTGCCTGTGTTCATGCTTTGCCCCCTGCCGAGAATGACTGGACCCTCCTTAAACAACTGTTGAAATGACTGCATGTGACAGGAGGTCCTCTGCACTTCCCCAAATGCAGCACACTGAGCTGAGGATGACCTTCACTGGCCAGCAGCGCCCTTGAGGCTGGGATTAACCTCAGCTGCTCCTTAAAAGTCTTCACTGAAAGATGAGACCACTGGTGTGTGCACTAGGCAAGCAGTCATTTTCATCTTTACAACTTCAGACTTTGTACAAAAAATGCTGCAGCCCGAGGCCCCTCCACCTTGGTGGGATGTAGTGTTACAACTCCACTGTGTCTATACGGCAGCTTAGTAGATCTACTTGGACTCACAGCAAATGCAGACATGGAACACCTCAAAAGCAAGTGAGGCAGGCTAGAGCTTGGGACGGGGCAGTCAGCCTGTGGCCTACATGTCCGGCAGCTGCAGATCCAGCGTTCCCAGGAAGGTTGGAAAATGCTCCCAGAGTCGCATCTGTACTGAATGCGTGTAGAATGCCTTCCTTGGCATCATTTCCTGAGCAGCAGTGTGACCAGCCACCATTTCCACGGCATTTGCATCATGTGAGGTACCGCACAGCACCCAGGCTGGGGATCTAAGGCCCACAGGACATGTGGAGGGCACAAGCCAAATCTGTGCACGTCACTCAGGCTCTGGGCATCGACAGAGGTCCTGGCTCCAGACCACCACATCCAGGGAAACTGCCCATGGATCTGTGGGAATTTAAAATGATTTCTGATTTGGAACTTAATAAATCTCCACTTACTGCACAGAGAGGTTCGCCAAACTGATGTGAATGTTGCACGCAGCCCCCAGTGCTGCAAGATGGGTCTGAGGCCTTTGATGGGATGTGAACGTCCTTCCAGGAGTGTGTGAGCACCCCCTCCTCCATAGGGCATTGCTGTCCACACTAGTAATCCTCCCTGGCCTGTTCCAGGGTCGCCTTCCCAACCTGCCTGTTTTTACCAGTACAAATGTTAAATACTGACATGAAGATTAGAAGTGAATCCATTTCTAGAAAATCTATAAACCAAATATTCAGCCAAACTATTTGCCTTGTGACTATTGGTGCTTTTTGCTGACAGCAAAATCCGAAGCATCACAAATATCCTGCACCTTAGGAGAATTAGCACAGTGGCAGCCTGCCATCCACCCCATCCAGTCACTGTCTTTGGGCGAAATCAGGCTTATTCGGACAGGGAATACCAAAGCCAATTTACAGACTTTTACTGAGTATTAATAAACAGTCCTAAAATGTCAGGTGGATCAGGTCCACACACATGTGCTTGCAGGAAAACTATTCCGGGCATTAGACATTCATGGATGTATTGACTCTCTGGACCTGTGAGTATTAAGTGACCACCACAGCATATAGATGGCCAAGACTTCTTTTTCCCTCCAAGTGCAGCCTGTAGGGGAGGCACTGTGAGGTTGCCCTGTCTGGCAGAGGTGGCTCTGCAGAATCGGCCTGGCTGTGGGGTGCAGGGGAGGAACATAGGGAGAATGCAGTGCCCTAACAAGGACCCAAGTTCTCTGCCACAAACTCTCTCCAAATCTACCCTGTGCACACAGCCCTCCGAAAATCTTAAAGGGAGCACTACCCATTCTTACCTGACACAAATATATACTTCGTTAGGTTTCCCTACAACAGGTGAACCTGTCTTAAGAAACACCTATTCAAAATACCCATCTTTGTCGATGTTTTGCTGTTCTGTTTTGCTTCAAACTCAGCAGACAGTGCTGCACTCTATCATCCCTGTCCAGCATTGCTGTCAGCATGGTTTCTAAGTGCAGCCTTGTGTTCTGACAGAGACAGGACTGAGCCATCGCCTCCCCTGGCACAGGTATCCCTAGTACCAGGTGAGCGCTCCTCCACCCAGCCTCGCCTCCCACCTGACCTGCATCCCTGCAGCTGAGCCCTGCTGGGCAGAGCGACTTCCAACTTCTCATTCAAAGTCCTTGGTATTTACCTGATTTAGCTCTTAAATTACAGATTCCACACAGAGGACCCTGAGTATCTTATTAAACCTTACATGCTACTCAGTAGTTCCCGAGCAACTAAAAGAATGATATTGGATAATCTTCAAAAATATCCGGAAACAGTCAGCTGAGGAGTTTGCTACTCTTCCTTCCTACAAAGGAGTATTGTGTATGCAAAGGACAAAGGTTTGCGTTGCATGTTCATAAGTATTTTATCTTCCCTGACTAACACAGCACATATGTTAGCCTTATGATTGTTACAGCAAGTATCAAAAGACAAAGGAAGAAAAAAAAAAAGACAAAGGAAGAGAAGCCTTCCTGCTCTAATACCATCTCTCTCATTTGTTTTGTTGTAATATAAACATTGTAGCTGTTATTTATTAAATGCTTTTACACGAGTCTGTCAAATATATACAATGCATTTGGAGAACGTATTCTAATTTTATTCTCCAAGAAGTACATAAAAGGTCAAAATATCATTCTGAGCCATATCATTCAGCTATTTTAGCCATAAGAATGTCATCATGAACTAGCAGTTATAATAGAATTCTCCTTGTTGAGGTCATTACAGTGCAGCAAATGCACACTGCAGAAAATCACAGTGCAATCTCACAAAAAGGTAGGGCCCCTTGTGTGGGAAATAATCTCTGTCAGAGCATCCCGGACATCACAGATGAAAGAGGCAGCCCAGAGGGAGCTGTGACCGATCGTTATGTGTCAAAAAGTCTAAGTGATGTAAATGTTATCAGAAGATTCAGGCAGACTTTCACCACACAGGACAGGACCTGGATTAGAACACACCACCTCTCTAGTTCTTGGGCTCCCAGGTGGGATGCAGGCAAATGACCCCAGGCCAAATAAACACAAGAAGACAATGAAAGGAGCTCAGGGCCACGGAGCTTCCCTGGGGAGTGGGGAGGGGCAGCGTCTCCAGCCTGCAGAGTTTTTCTGTGGCACGGTGCTCTAGGTGCTGGACCAGGACGAGTCCCTCGTGACTTGGAGGACCTGGGAGACCCCGTCCACATGCAGCAGGGCGAGCCCATGCTTGGGAGCACGTGTGCAGGGCCCGAGGCTGTCTACACTGCTGCTGTCTTCACCAGGAGCCTCTATTGTTCGTACAGGTAATTTCCCACCATGACCATCCTGTTTATGTCTATTATGTCCAGATCACCTTGAAGTTTAACCAAGGTCACTTACATTGCTAGAAACCAGAGAGGTTTTTCAAGATCGTAACAATGGAAATGGGAAAGGGTTAATTCAACTTAGAAGTTATGAAATGGAAGAAAAATAATGGCAAGATTGATAAGCAAGAATATATGAAGCATCGAGGACAGGAATTAGCCAGGCAACATCAGGCAGAAGTGGTCTGACTTTCCTTGAATCTCAGAACATGAAGTCATGTTGATAAGGGAGCTTGGTTCACTTTCAGTTAAGCAGTAAATCAGTCCTCCTTGGTCGGAATTAGCTTGAGTGTCTCATGTGTCACCCCCCCCACCCCGCCCCGCATGATAGAATTGGCAAAGGAGCCCCGAAGGAAGGGACTTGGGAGCTGCAGGCACGGCCCGAACATTCAGAGACATCTGCGATCTCACTCTCTGGGTTTAAGTGCTGTTTCTGGTGTCCCTTAACTTCTGAATGTTATACAAATCCATCATTTCTCTAAGCTGTCTTGCATCTGTAAATAGGAGTCACAAGCATTTACCACATATCCTAATGAGGACTCAATGAGACAAAATTCAAAACCGCTCTGAATATCTTAGCCACCGGTAAAAGGAATCACTCATGCATGTCACCTCCCAGTAAGGCAACTGGTTAGGGTTGCTTTTCAGAGGATCTGATCCATGCTCTGAGACTCATCAGTCCCAGCCCTGGGGCGGGGGGCTGTGCGCTCACTGTCTGAGCCCCTCAGATCCCCTCCAGCTGTGGCATCGCCTCTGTTCCCTACCTGCCCACCTGTGACCCACATTCTCCTGGGTCACACATGAGGGGGCGGCTTCCCCTGGGGAGCATCTCATTGTCTGCCCTCCAGCAGCTGTCCTGCTGGTAGGAGACGCGCGTACTGTGAATCTCAGCACTGCTGGTCTCAGTGGCAGTCGTGAAACTCCACTGACCCACTTTCAAAATCTGGGTTCATCACATTGTTTACCGCTGATGTACGCACATGCGTAGAAATGTGCCAGTCCCAGACCTCTCCCGATTCTTTCTTCCTTGTGGATACTTTGTGCCTCCTCCAGTTTTATTCTTTGCTATAAGCTGCATCTAATTTCCACAACACAGTTTTCTACATCACAATCTGGACCTTCCCTCCCTTCTTCTTTTCAGGTTAAGTTTCCTCGGAGGACATAGTTTGGTTTCTGAGCCATCACCTTCCCAAAGCTTCCAGATGTTTTGCAGCCCACGGAGGCCAGGCTTGGGCTCTGCAGGAGGCGGCCTTCACCCACCTCACCCTTTCCACCTGCAGAACCACGCAAAGCACGTGCGCTTCCCGGGCCCAGAAGACTCAGGCCGACCCTGACTGTGCCTGTCAGCTGCCAGGCTGCGCCCAGCCTCATCCGCCTGCCTCACTGGGACAGCAGGGTCGCAGCTGCCCTGAGCGGCAATCACATGCCAATCAGTGCCTCTCGTGGTTGATTCTAGCCTTAGGGTTCCTATCAGAGATGCCAGTGTTTCAGATCCCTTATTTTATCAGTGCTGCGTTCTGCCCAGGTGACAGAGAGGACCTAGCCCACCACAGCAGCCTGCGGGAGGAGCTACTCCACGGCCACCAGCTCCACAGGCACCACCAGGAAAGAGCAGCGACACTGAGCGAGGTGACCTTCCAGCCGAGCCTCACAGCCCACTGGAAGCCGAAATGACTGCGTCCAGTCCCGAGATATGTTTCAGCTGCGCACTGCGTAAATAGCGTGTTTAATAATGCGTAATGGGTTAAACACGTTGCACAACAGAAGAGGAAATAGACACAGAGGCGACCCGGGAACTCAGTGGGCCACGCACGGCTGAGCACGGGGCTTTTCTGGTGCTGGCTGCTCCGCGGGGCAGTGCTGCCCCCATGCCCTCGCTTCAAATCTCGCCTGCTCAGAGGAGAACACATTGGCCATCTGGGCTTCCTGTCCCCAAGTGATCCTCGCCTGACAGGACGCAGAAGCTCGGTCCTGCCAGTGCCAGGCTTTGGGAGATGAACTGCGAAGATGGAGGAGAAGGCCGGCCGGAGAGGCCCAGGCGGCCCAGCACCTCCTGGCGACCTCGCGCCGCCGCAGGCCGTTCCACTCCTCCCAGCCTTTCAGGGCGCTCTGCGGCTTCCACACAAAATCACCAGGCTGCATTTTAACACGGGGGAAAGGCAGATTACTGCAGACTACTGCAGATTACTGCAGATGAGCTGGGCTTCGAATAATTCCCTGTGCTTACTTTGAGTTCAAGTAGCGTCACTCGGCTTCTTGACGTATTTGTTCATCTTTATAAATGCACTAGTACATGTCTGTGATTCATGACCACCGCTTGCATCAAGGGTATCGGTCCTTGAACAGGACACATCCTAACCCTTTCCCTCCCCCCTTGCCCTTCCCTGTCTGTCCTGGTCTCCTTTCCATTTGCAAAAGATCTACCTTCTGCAACTCATTGGAAATTCACATTTATGTATGGCGACCTCAGGATGGCTTTGACCATAATTACACGCTCAGCCCTCTTAGAACGGTCTTTATGTCACATAGGGCAATGTACGGCCATCCTCTATTGCTCGGACCAAACAGCGTCCCTTTAGATACACCAGGAAGTCGTGGAACGCCACAGGATTCAGAGGCGCTGCCCGAGCTTCAGGCAGGAAGTAGAGAGCAGTGACTGACTCACCCAGGCAGCGCGTCTCCGAGCCGCTCCAGAGACCGTTGGCCAGGCACTCGCGGACGTGCGAGCCCACCAGGGTGTAGCCCGTGTTGCAGGTGAAGATGGCAGTGGCCCCATAGACCGTCAGCGTCCCGATCTTGTTACCATTTGGGGGGAAGGACAGGCTCCCGCACGAGACAACTGGAGGGAAAAGCACGTGGACATTGCTTTAGAAATATCAAAAAGCCTGGAGTGTTAATATTCGTTACCAACAAGGAGCAAGGAGGTCTGCTAGGACTGCAGCAACTGATCATCTCAAAAGGGTAATTTTCCTCCTGTGTCCTTGAGATCAAAACTGAAACCCTAAGAATGGATTCCAGAACACCCTACATCCCTGGGACTACCCTCTGCCCTTTTTGCATTCTCACCAGTAGTGCCCTAATTTAAAAAATACAGTTTGTAAATATGCCTATCAGACAAGGAGGCGACCTGTCCATCTTTCCGTATGGCACCAACCCTAAGAGGGACATCACTGCTGGGCACCCAGGGGCCCGTCAGCAACCCGGACCCTGAGCTGTCTGCCACGTCTGTCCGCTGAGACGGAGTACTGCAGTATTAACATGTGGGACTTCAGACAGCACAGGTCACGGTGGGTTTGTGATTAATTTGTGGGGATCATGAGCCCCTCCGAATGCTGACTGTAAAGGGCACAGGGAGCCCTGAGGACTCGTGCGGTTTATACAGGAACCGCCCCACCTGTGGTTGTGGGTAGGATGACTGAGTCCCAAGGGGTGCCTGGTGCCCCCACATGGCAGTGAACAGCATCCCGTCACCCACCGAATCAGTCCATTAGGAAGGTAAGTGAGTGGCTGCCACGTTAGAAGTACTGGGGCTCACATACATGTCTGTGCTTCACATCTGCAGACACTTCAGACACAGTAACCCACAATCTCTGGGAGGATGGCCACCGAGTCCCCAAGGCCGGCTGACCATGGGAAGCGCGCTGTGCAGCAGCCCGGAAAAGCGGAAGTCCCGCAGTGCTAGTCACAGGATGCATTCCCACGCCAAGTGAGTCAGTGCTGTGCCTTGCCAGCCAGGGCAGTCGGTCCCAGTCCTGGTGTGGTTAGAGTGAGTGGCAAGAGGCGGATGAACCAGGTCCTGGCCAGGGGTGACCCAGGGTCCACGCGGGCTCTGCACATGCTGGCTGGGAGCCTCCAGCCCCAGGAGGGATGAAGCAGTCCCTGCCAGATGGGCAGTGACATGGACATGACACTCCAGGACCGAAGTGTGTGAGCCCTCAGGAGAATTCCAGCAAGGACAGGCTTCGTGCACATTCTGAGGCCTTCCTTCCACGAAGTGACCCCAACGGGCCCTGCGCTGAACAGTCAGGTTAGGCCCCTAGACGGGGTGCGGGAGTGCAGCTCCAGAGCGCACCCTGTCCTCGAGAAAGCCCACATCGCAGTGTTCTGGACTCGCTAAGCATCTCGGCCCGTGGACCACACAGGCAGTGATGTGTGGGTCTGCACCAAATGCCAGTGAATGCAGCCGGGACCCAGATTTGTACAATTTGCTGTGAACTTTTCTCTAAGCCTTTTCCCAAACACTGTGAACTTCACCTTGAGCTGTGATATTTAGTGATCCATGTGTAGACATTTAAGTAACTGGGGGTGTTTTGAAACTTCAGCGCTTGGCAGAATTGCGTTAAACAACAATGAGCACCGGCTGCATCTCCACTGGCTGGGGGTGCCCTGCCTCCTGCATCTGCCTCCCTGCAGACTTCCTGGTGAAGCGGTGAAGCTATTTTAAGACTGTCCCCTCATCAGGTTTACTCACTTGCAAAGAACTAATGGAGCGAAATTTGAGCTTCTCAGCTTCTGGATAATGGGACCTCAGACCCAGAGTTTCCTTTGGTAGAAAACCAACCTTTTTTCACAGCAAGGGGACAGCCAAAATTCGCAGAAGGTGGGCTCACTGGAAGGCAGAGCCTGCTGGCCACTAAAATGACCTCTGTCGAGCATCAAGGAGAAAGCCTGATTTCCATGCTATTTTTGCTCCTAAGTTTTCAAAAAGGAATCCATTAGGTTTGCTTTTCCCCTCCCACTGAGACGTACTCACACTCACAATCCGGAGGGCTCCCTCCCTGGAGCTGTCAGAAGACTGTACAGGAGGGGCGCTCGGCAGGGGAGCCCGGTGCACACAGCAGCACCCCCTGCTCAGGCTCTGCACACCCTGCTCCTCCCTAGGACGGAGGACCCCGAGTCGCCCGCCTCCTCTGCAGGGACAGGGAAGGGTCTCGCTCCGCTCCGCACTTGTGTTTCGGCTGCAACTTTACAGCACAGCGCTGGGCCTCTCAGCTCTCCTTGCGGCGGGGTCCGCGCAGTACGATGCTCCGCGTGCAGTCTCCCAGGCAGCGCTGTCCACCTGCTCTGCTGGACGAAGCCCAGCGACACCCAGCGGCCAAGAGCAGTCCGCAGGGCTCATGCTGTGGGGAGGGACAAGGCTGTCTGTCCACCAGGAGCAGGCCAGGGGTCTCCGAGGAACGGCCAGCACATGCGCATGCGACGTGGGGCGGAGGTGGGCACTGCTCCGTGCGGTCTGCGTGAACAGAGCCCGGAGCCGCCCTCTGCACAGCCGCAGCAGTCCCTGGTCAGGGTGGGTGCTCGACGCTGGAACCCGGCCTCTGGGCCGGTGGACGCGAGCCGACCTGGAAAACCTGACGTGGGGACGAACGGCGGCTCCAGAGAGCAGCAGCTGCAGCGGGCTCGGCCCGGAGGGCTCTGCCGATGGACGCCTGTGCGGTCCTGTCCGAGGCCAGTCCAGGCGCCACCTGCAGGCGAGACGCGCTGAGCTCCAGCCTGGCCTCTTCGCTCTCGGATTGGCCAAGGTCTCATTCTGAGAACTCTTAAATTAGCAGCTAGGGAAGGACAAGGACGCACGTTCCAGAATTCAGGCAATGCTCCGTGTATTTAAGAAAATTCCAATGGCGCTTCTCATATCTATGTGTGTATATCAAATTTAATATGCAAAAATGATTTTTTCTGATCATAGGTTTCTGCAGTAGATGTATTTTCGTTTTTAAAATGTAAATATAGCCCAAATGCTCATCAACTGGTGATTGGGTAAAGATGTGTTTTGTTTTTTAAAATAAAATGGAGTACTATGCAGCCATAAACAAAGATAAACTAGAGACATTTATAGCTGAATGGATGCACCTTGAGGCCATCCTCTTAAGTGAGATAAATAGGACACGCATGTGTAAGTACCGAATAGCTTCTCTGGTGTGAGAAACTGAAAATGTGAAGAAGGACCAGAATGTATAATAGATTGTGAAACAGGAAGAAAATGTTGAAAGAGGAGGGGGAAGGGAAAGAAAAAGTGAAAAAAAGGGAAACAAAGCTTTTGTAAATAGGGAGGGGTGGATGGGTGGAAGGGAGGGTGGGGAAGGGGAAAAAAATAAGAACCAAGATCCATCATGTCCAGGTATAAATTCCCTATGGTGAACGTGATCATAATATCTACCTAAAATGTGCAAATAAACATGATGAATAATATGTATATAATATATCTATTCAAACAGTGAAGGAAAGGCTTGCTCTTTCATGACGACTCTGATCAGCAAAGGCTTGGGGCCCCCTAATTTAAACTTCAGTTCTGCATCTTGGGGGTTCAGGCAGTAAGAGCCCTCAGTGGTGCGGTGAGGTCGAGGTGCCTGCCGCTCTCCCTGGAGCCCACAGTCCCCGGCACACTGGCCTGGCAGCTGGATGGGAAGGACCTGAGCCCTTCTGTGAAGGAGGCTGGTGGGCGGACCTCAGGGCAGGCAGGGATGGACCAGCTCAGGGGGAGCCGGGCCCACTCTTCCGGGACTGAGCAAGCCAGCAGCACAGGAATCCAAGCGCTGCGGGCTCAGCAGGTGGGCCCTGAAGCAGTGCATTCTTGCAGGCCTCAGGGCAGGGCCCCTCTGAGGTCAGCCACAGCGGGAGACCAGAAGTCTCCAAGGGACAGCTCTCAGCTCTGCCCCCAGAGGCTGTGGAGGCAGCTGCATTTCCTCGGCAGAGAAACCACTGGAAAAGGATCATTTTAATAATTCTAATTAAGAAATTAAATGGCATTGAACTTCCTGGGGTTCCCACGTACCTGCTGAGTAGTAAGGTTCATTATCAGCAGATTTCATACTGCGTTTCACTGTGTGCATGTCGGCAAAGGGGGAACAAGGGAGATGAAAAGAATTCAAGTATAAAATAAAACGAAAATGTGTTACAGCAAAATGAATTAATGTGTTTAGTGAATTTATCCTTGTCAGTCCTAGAAAATAATGTCATCATAAGGTTGTAAAAATATTTTTCACTTTGTATTTTGTTTTCTGGTTTTATTTGTTTGATTATTTGTTTACTTCATTTCTTTTTAGTTTTTGTGGTACTGGGGGCCTTCTCACTGAGCTACATCCCCAGTTCTTTTAAAATATTTTAATTTTGATACAGGGTCTCACCATGTTCCTACGTTGCCCAGGCTGGGCTTAAAATTGCAATCCCCCTGCCTCAGCCTTCCAGAGTCCTAGGCTTACAGATGTGCACCATTGTGCAGCCACTTTATTTTTTGAGTGCTAAGGGCTCAAACATTATTATGGCTGTGCCTTTTTATTCTGATATTTTCAACAGACCTTTGAGAAAGTAGAGGGTTATGAGCCTGAGGAACTCAATATCTGTCCTAAATAAGTAAAAGGAGTAGTAGTACACGCTGAACTAGAGTTGGTTGTGAAAAACACACAATAGCACTAGCACCCATGAACGCGAGTACTGAGTTTCAGCCTCACGTGTTCGTGGCTGTGCTGGCCTGTGTTGTGCCTTTCCTTGCTCCCTCTGTGCTCCGGAGTCTGAGGTTGGACCCCAGACCCTTCAGCGTGTGCGCTCCTGAAGCAACTCCACTTCGAACGAGGTCTGAGTCTCTTGCAAGTCCCCAACAGACTTTCAGGGTCTGATCCACAAGCATCTCGCTGCGGAGGCCCCAGCGCATGGTGCCACAGGACTTCAGCACCATGGACCTGCATCCGCCTGAGAGGGAGCGGGCCAGAACCGGGCCCCATCCAGGTAGGACCCAGTCCCGGCTGTGTCTTGAGCTCAGCCTGGGGACCTGGCAGGCATCGGTCGGGGTGCCAGACCTTTGACCCAGGATATACCGCCTCCGCTGAGCCAGGGAGCTGGGTGACCGGCTGCACAGGTGCTCAGGGCTGGGACACAGAGGTCCTGAGGTGGCTGCTGCTCCTGGACTCCTGGGCGCGGGGTCACCGGCGAGGGCCGCGCGAGACAGGAAGTGGAGGGCGAGAGGCTTCTGAGGCGGTGAACACCTTGACTGACACCAAGCCGAGCAGTGGGATATCTACTGTGACACAGCTGTGCTTCCAAAATGCAGAAAACGTATGGACAGGCTGCTTTGCCGGGATAGTACATTTTAAAAAATCAATCGAAATAGAGATAGAGATTGACGATATCAACAGCAGGACTTCTGGGAGAGATAGCAGAGAGCCGCCCCTTCGTCTCAAGCCAGTCCCAGCCCAGCACCGGGCACCCAGAGAGCCCCCAGTGCCACGTTTGGCAGGATGAGTCCAAGAGCACACGAAGGGCCCTGGCCTTACGAGAAGACCGGAATTTCAAACACGTCAGTGGGACAAAATAAGGAAGCCAGGTCAAAGATGCTCCTCTAGCCAAGTAGTGAAAGACTGAGCCGAAAAACTCAAAGCAAACAGTGATTTCAGTTGGATTCCACTGACCCTGGAAATCCACACGTCCACAATGACCGGAAAGAGACAGATGACAATGGACAGCACAGTGTGTCCTCAGCCCTGCGTGTCACAAATCCATGTGCGTTCCTCGCTGGACGCTCGAGGACAAGTGCACATGTGGCAGTGTCAGAACCAGCAGGACAGGTGGGTTACCTCAGGGCCCAAAGGTGGGGTTCCTAGAGTGGCGAACGCCCTTCTCCGGGGAGGATACTGGCTTCGTGATCTTCGTGGCCTGATTTCTGTAGATGTTCCTCAAATTGAAGACTCCCTTCTGGAGTGGCAATGTGAGACTAAGGCCAGGCACAGCAAGTACCACCTCTGCCTGCCCTGGGCAGGAAGGGCGCAGTGACCAGATGGGGGTCCTCATGGAATCAGGAGGCCATGCTCAGCCCTGTGTACCCTCGGAAGCGAAGCCCATGTAATCCACGGCAAGAAGTCATCATCCTTTTCTAAGATCTTGCTTCTGACTTGACTCTGACAGAGGCGTGTGAAGAATCTCCACAGTGGCTGTACCGGTTTACACTCTCAGCAACAATGGGGAAGGGTTCCTTTCTCCTGCAGCCCCTCTGGCATTTGTTATTACCTGATTTCTTCATGATGACCACTAAAACTAGGAATTTTATTTGACCCAGCTATTTCTCTTCTAGGTACCCTCCCCAAAGGTTAAAGACATCATATTACAGTGACACATGAATGCCTGTATTTGTAGCAACACAACTCTGATAGCTAAACTATTTCCATCAGCAGATGACTGGATAAAGAAAATGTGATATTTAGTGGAGTACTACTCTGCCATAAAGAAGGATAAAATGGAGTCATCTGTAGGAAAATGGATGCACCTTAAGATCATAATGTTAAGTGAAATAAATCAGACACATGGGCTTTAATATCACAGGGTTTCTGTTATATGAGAGACCCAAAGTATAAATATAGAGCAAAATAAAAGATAGATAATAGGAAGTAGGGAGACAGATCTTTCTCAAATGGGAAGGGGCTCAGAGATGAGGGCAGGAAGAGAAGAGTAGAAAAGATGGGGGACTAGGGTGTGCTATGCACACGGGCCCACCCCACGCTGAGAATGGAATCATGGGCTGTGGGCGTGGACTAAGAGAAACACACGTGAAGGGCAGGCATGCTGGCTGCACAGCCGACCTGTTGGGGGCCAGCGCTCCTGGCCCCATCTTCTGCCCCTGTTTGGCTTCATGGCGAGTCCTCGAGTCCCAGAGTGGCTTTCGGGGTGGGGAGATGTGGGTGCTGGAGGAGACCGGGTGAGGCACTGGGTGACCAGCCCAGCCGGGGTCCTTCGCCCAGACCAGGATGCGGCCGAGGGGAACCTGCGGTACGGCTCCCGGGTGGGGACCGAGCCCCCCCTGCATTGCCCTGACTCCTCTGCGTCCCCCAAAGCTTGTAGTAGCATCAGTAACATGCACTCCCCAGAAATGGAAGTAAAGTTATTGTCCAAGCCCACTAAGCATCCATTCTTTGTCTGCTTACTGTTTCTCTTTTTTTCTTACTAAGCTGTGTACTTTATAAATTTCACACTGGCCCAGTGACTTGTCTCTGCATGGTAATTTCCTGCCAACAATCAACAAAGATCACGTATTAAGATGCCCAACTCAAACAGTGCTCTGAACAATACCCGCATTGTCTTATTTTCCCATTTATTCCTATTTATCATGAAGCTTACACACAGACTTAACTGCCTATCTTGCATCGGAGAGGATAATGAGCTCTCTTCCAAGACAGCCCTTGTGAGCACACAGTGTACTCAGCACAACTGTGATCCCAAGACCCATCGAGAACTTCTGCACAGAATACCAGTTATCTTCAGGGACATGAGCTTTCGTTCGCCTCTGAGCAGAGGCAAAACACTTGAGTATTCTAATAGCTTAAAGTTTATGAAATATGATCATTAACGAGGAAAACAAAGTGTGTACACCAGCACTCACGGCCTGGGATGCCACGAGCCACGGCCCAGAGCTGGAGAGCAGCCCGCCTGGCCCATCCGACCCGACCCCAACCCTGCAGCAGAGGGGCCCACTCACCTCTGCACGCCGGCTGCTCCTCTGCGCCGCTCCACGTGCTGTTGGCCTGGCACTGCAGCAGCCTGGGGCCCTCCAGGTAGTAGCCAGGGCTGCAGCTCAGCAGGACCTGGGCTCCATACTCATCCAGTGACCCGGACACCAGCCTCCAGAGGACGTGTTCTGACAGCTGCATCTCAATGCTGGGGCACAGCACCGCTGCAAAGGAAGAGGGGTTCAGCACTGCATGGCAGGGGGCAGATGGGCCTCATAGAGGTGTGGAGTGGGGACCCCTGGCCTGGGTCTCAGGTCCCCCTGCTGTCCACAGGCTGCACAGGAAAGAGCTCACATGCAGGGCGCACTCAGTGATTCGTAGGGAGGGGACTGTGATCTTGCAGTCAGGTGGCTGTGCACAGGGAAACCAGGCTCAGGAAGGTGTCCGTTCTCCTGGGGGTGATGAATGCCTTCAGGAAAACGAGCTCAGGCTGCAATAATGTGTGTAAACTCCTCTCAGCTTCTGGTAAACTGGAGTCATGACTATGCAACTGAAATCCAGTTTGGAAACTGATTTCCAAAAATCAGAATCTCTCATCCTTCCACCCCCCCCCCCCCACCACAGTGCACATCTGTATACACTGGACTTACAGACACAGACACATGGAGTCACACTGCACTGGTACTGCTAAGAAACCACCAGGCCTTAAAGGACATAGCCCCGCCAAGATCTCAGGAAAAGCTCCGGAACACAGCAGGCAGCTACGCACAGAGCCTGGGTAGCCCTGCACCAGGGCTCCAAAAGCAGTAGCCTGCTTAGTAACAGAGGCAAAGACTGCAGTGCTGCCAGGTGGGGCCAGAGACTTATAGATATGCAAACCTCGGGGGCTGAGTGCTATTCTGAATGGATGATGAGATGGGAGGTGAATGCTACAGTCAAAACCGAACCACTTCTTCAAATGTGAGCTTATGTTCATCACAGTTCACCGTGATCTGCTGTCCTCAGAACTGACCAGATCCATGACCTCCGCATCTTGGAAGAATTAGCTAAAACCCTGTAATTTTTTCCCCAGGATGGTAGTAATACATTTTACTCAAGTTCACTGAAATTGAGTCAAACATATCCAAAATGCTACAAACGTCTCATCCAGCCCCTCTCGGTAATTTATCAGTACTAAGGACAAATATGTTTAAAAAGAAGGCACTTTTGGCATATTAGCTTTTCTTTGGTACCAGGGATCGAACTTGGGACTTTCTGGGTGGTGCCACTGAGCTACATCCCCAACCCTTCAATTAGTTTTAAAAATGCGAAATATGGTAAAAAATGAGAAAAAATGGTAATTAAAATTCTTATGCTTATTTCTCCTAGGTTCTTATAGATGAAGTAATTATTTACATTTATGAGGGTATTCAAATGCTCTACCTAACAAGATAAATAATATCTTTCTCTGGCCAGGATACTTTCAGAATTTCCGGCAACACTGCCATTTCTGGAAAGTCCTTCACCTTCTAAGTTTGTTGCTCCATTAGAATCCCAATGCATATTTCAAAGCAAATGCATTTCATTTCAATAAAATATGTGCTTCCAGAATTGACCTGACAGTTTTAATTATTTAACTCTATTTTACAAGCTCTGTTTTGCCAAGGATTAGGATCAGCGCACACAACGGAAGCAGAAGATACTGTGAGTCAATACCGTGCAGAGCATGAATACCAAATTCTCCTTCATTACCTCTTTCTTCGTGAAAATGAGACGCAGCTTGCTTTGAATTATCTTAGTCTAGTTTGTGGCATCTCTTACTCTCTATTAGGCTGTGACCTCTTTTATTGTAAGCATCATGTCTTTTCAGTTTTTCTCGAGCGTAACATCTGCCTAGGTACAGATCACAAACACGGATACTTAAGCAAGGGTGCACAGGTGTGTGAACATTTGAAAAACAGCACCCAGAGGAAACACTACTGCGCTGAAAACACAGACAAAGACTGACAGAGAAGCGTGGGAATGGAAAGTGCAGCAGTGCCCTCTCGTTCAGAGGAGAGAATCTCAAGCTCCAGTGGGGCCTGCAACCACGGACAGAGCTGAGCACTGCACACTGTGAGGACATTCAGTCGATCCACTCAGCATGCAAGCGAAGACAAGATGAAAACTAAAATAGCTAACAAGATGCTGAACAAAAACTCTGTCTCTCTGTCTCTCTGTCTCTCTCTGTCTCTCTGTCTCTGTGTCTCTGTCTCTGTGTCTCTGTCTCTCTTTGTCTCTCTCTGTCTCTGTCCCTCTCTGTCTCTCTCTGTCTCTGTCTCCTCTCTCTCTCTCTCTCTCTCTCTCTCTCTCTCTCTCTCTCCCCGTGTCCCTGTCTCTCTGCCTCCCTCCCTTCCTCTCCAAGACAGAATATTTTGGGGCCGCAGATGGCCCTGGTCATCACAGCACAACCAGGGACCCTGCACCCCAGGGTGCACTGTGGGACAAGGAGAGAGAGGTGCTAATAAGAAAGCTGATGCCAATGCCAGTGCTGTTCTCAGGGTGAAGAAAGAGCAGACATTTTCAGAAATGGGCAGAGACTGTGGTTTTCATCTGCTCAAAGACGACCTGCGGGAGAGAGAGAACACAACATCCAGAATCCTGCTTCAATGACCCATATGTAACTCTGATGGTGGAGTCCTGAGGATGGAAACTTAGATCCTGTGAGGAGATGTGGAGACACAGGCTTGGCCCTTGTCATGTTTTACAAGTCGCCTCAGCAGCCCACACAGGAGGACCCACCCTCACTTGTTGCTGCCAATGGAACATTATTCAGCCCTGAAAAAGAACAAGATCTCACCATTTGCCACAATGTACCTGAGCCTAAAGGAGAGGATGTAAAGTAGACAGACAGAAAAAGAAAAATATTACTGTACTCAAAGCCAGAAAACTACTACGTGTGGGGTTCTGGCTAACGAGGTGATTTCCACTGCTCCTGTTGTGAAAGCCAAGACACACAACAGGAAACCACGTGCCGTGATGACTGCACTAATTTACTTCACCATAGCAACTGCGTTACCACTGCACATGTCACCAGTGCCAGGCTGCACTCCGTAATGTGCACAGTGAGATTTAAGAAGAGGACTCCCTTGCTCACTGATGCCTGTGAAATAATCTATGCTCTGAGGCCCAGGCTCCCTGGCTTGGGGTCACTGGACACAAGGCTCCCGGGGACCTGGTTGCCCCATGGTGTCACAGAAGCCCAATGCCCAGGATACCCTCTGAGGCATCGGGCAGGACGACCGCCCCTCCTGGGCTCCTCCCTGGGCCATAGGTTGCACCAGCCAGCGTGGGACCCCTGCTGTGTGAGAAGCCGGGGACAGGCGGCCTGCACTGGCCAGGGGTTCGAGGACATGCAGAGGCCACAGGAGAGGGCAGGAGGGAAGAGCGTCAGCCCCACACATGGCTTGGTGGTTCTGCAGCAGGCGCTTCCCGCTGCTCTCTGTCCTGTGGGCCCCAGACCTCTACACTGTTGATGGCCAGAGGCCACGGGGTTCAGGTGTACCTGCCTCACGACCACAGGGAGCAGATTTCAATTGGGTCAGGAAAACGTGAAAACCAAGCAAACTGGAGGAAAACTTAGGAGTAGAACATGTAATGTAAAAGTTTATACACAACAATGCCCTTTGCTTCAGCAAGACATTGTGTAGAGAAAGGAGAATGCTTCTTTTATAGTCCTAGTTTTTAACTTTCTTCACCAGACATCAATACTAAGAGAGGGGAGGGAGGGAGGGAAAGACAGACAGACAGACAGACAGACAGAGTGCAAGCTGTGAGCGGAATGCATATGAATCCCGCACTAGGGGCTTTAGTAAATAATACACAGGACACCGTGCATCTTACTTTATCAGGGCACTTCCATTACATGACATTAGTCAAAAAAGGGTCATTACAAGAATAATTGAAAGATAGCTTGAAAAGTTAAATTTAAAAACCTATTATAGCGAAAGACACATTACCAAGAATGATGGGCTAAGTGTGTTCAAAGCAAAGCAGTGTTTTGAGTGTTCTGAGGGGGATTATTGACAAGGTCTCTCTTGCTGTAATACATTTTAAGATTTAAAGATTCATCATACTTCATGATCACCCTAAGTTGATCGAATGTTCACAGCAATTTCTGTCAAAATTAAACATGAGGCTGTGTCCACATCCGCCTTATTCACCGGATCAGGCACTGTGTGACTCCCGGCTCCTCCCCGAAGTCTAAATGCCCACTCAGGACACCGAGGCAGCCAGGACAGCGCAAGCAAAGACTCTTAGGAGAGAGGACGCCACAGCTGCTGCAGGAAGTGGCCAGGACGGCGGGCTGAGTGTGCTTGAAGCGAGGGGGAGGATTTGAGGGGATTGTGGCCATGTGTCCTTTACTATAATAATTTGCTTAAAAGAAACGAAACATTCACCATTCCAGCTGATCCACTGGCTGAAGAAAAGACACTGAGTGTGGTGACCAAGTGGGAAGGGGAAGGCTGGAGTCTGGAAGGGCGGGGGCGGGTGTGGCTGTGGATCGAGGAAGCACAGGAAGGCAGAGCTGGGGACAGGCCTGGCTCTGTCTCCGGCTGCTCCCACTGGTCTGTGCAGTGTTATTATTTATTTGATATGGGAAAGTGGGGAGCGAGCCCACATGGGAGTGAGCCCCAGTGTGCCCGGAAAGAGGCAGGACAATGAGATGCCGCCCAGCTGCCACCCACGAAGGTGCTCTTTCCCCGAGAGAAACTCCGCAGATGGACCACATGCCCCCCAGAGCAGTTGAGTCACGGGCAAGCGCCGGGTTCCACAGCTCCGGGGGCCCTGTGATTGCAGACAGGGTCCTCTGCACCTGGGAGTGCGACCTTTGCCCCTGGGCGACCCGGGTCAGCTGGGGTCGGAGGAGGCGGCAGGACAGTGCCCAGGGAGGCCTCTGCGCTGTCTCAGACCACCACCTTCCAGACTGCCGGAGAAGCACAGGAAAGCGGGACCGTTCCACAGTGAGTGAGGGCTGGCAGCAGGCCTGGCTGTCAGACTCAAATCCACCAAGGCCCCGGCTCACCACAGTCCAGTAGCAAATAAATAACAACGGTTTCCGAAGACTGTTTGAAACATTTTTCCTACCAAGGAAATGTAGGACAAGAAAGCATCTTATACATCGTGTCTTTGACAATCATAAATGAATAAATTGCGGGTTAATTTTAGTAAACTGAAATGCACTTTAGCACATGAGAGGTTAGCC